TTTCCTGCCTGTGTGGATGTAGTGGGGAAGGCCCAGTCCTACACTGTTGTGATGCCATGTGTCCTTGGACCAGAAGGAGCATCCATTCTGCTTAATGAAGAAGGGACAGGGAAGGTAGAGATGTTGATCATTTCAGTACTTTTTCATGGAAAGCATATTTGCTAGGGTAAAGCTTCTAATCTTGCTGACCTTGTAAAATCAGGGAATTTCTCCCCTCTGATATGTATCTTAGTTTCTTGGTGCACTTTTTTCTTCTCTTTTTGCATCATCAAAGGTTCACCATGGCTGAACAGGCTACTAAGCCAAACGAACTGGTATTCTGCAATTGTGTAGGAACATATTTAAAGCATCTAGTTAGTACATCCTGGGTGTGTACATAGGGTTAGGTTGATTTTCTTCACGTCAGTTTGGCAGAGATTTGGACAGTTCTTCACCTTTCCATCTGCATAGGTCACAGCTAACTTTCTGAGATCATTTGGGTGTATCTCATCCAATCATTTCCCTATATCACACCCTTTTGGGGGCCTCTCAGTCTCTTCTACTTCTTGTCTGAGGCATGTATTCTGTTTTACTGAAGAACAAAATGTATTCTGTCACTGAACTATCTAGGTTTTTTATTGAGTCTTTGGACACTGGCTAGCTCTTGATACACAGAAAGCCACCTGTTGTAATTTTTGTAATTTAATGGTTATAGGAAAGTTGATGTTTACCAAAGTCAAATTTAAAAATTAAGAACACCCCTCTCCCTGTAACTTTAAAGAGTGATGAGATTGGAAACATGTAATGAAGCGTATTCATTATAATATCCCATAAATATTTCCCTACACTTGGCAACAGACGAGGGAAATGCTTATCCTTCACACTTAAGAAATAAAAGATGATCCTTCCCCAAATGCAGTGATGCTGAAAAATATTTGAGGATCACCATGTATAACTGATTCAAATAAAAAAAAGATACTAAAAGCCTAAATGTGAGAGTATCAGAATAGGACAGTAACATTATGTTGTATATTAGATGAAACATTACTGTAAAATCGAATACTGCTCAAGTGTCAATATTTCTAAGAATATTTAATTTTATTTGTTTTGGTTTTAGAATCAATTTCAAAGTAGGTCTGAGAAAGCATTGTTTATAGTGACAAAGCAAATAATTTTTATGTGTATAAATTATTTGGGAGAAAGTTAAGTGACTTGATAATGGAAAATATCTGGAATCAGAAGCTATCTTTTACATTACTTACCACATTAGTATAGCAGAAAAAGACAAAAGAAAATATATTGTTTGGATGCTAAAGCAAAACAAATTCAGATAGGAAAAAGTGAAGATTTTTAATACCAGATAATATTAGGGGATAGTTGGATTAAGAGGAAGCTGGGCTGTCTGTCATTGACTGTTGAAATCAAGACTAGATACTTTTCTGTGAATCAGATCTCAGACAGCTGTTTGCCAGAGCAAGGTCTTCAGTCTTTGTTACACTGGTGATCAACTGAGATAATCAGAGCAGTTCTTTCTACAGTGAAAACTGACTTATTTCTTAAACACTTGGCCACTGAATATCTGCTACTAACAAAGTATTCACACAGGTATTACCATGCTGTTCATACAGTGTAAGGGTCTCAATGTATTTCATAATGAAGGTTGCTGTCTAATTCCAGACAGGGCTAAAAAGTGCATGGTGCATCCAGCAGGGCTTTACATGCTGCACAGATCATTTTATGTAGATCTATGTAATTATATTGTAATTTTACAGGATGGTTGCCTGGTACACTGAACACTGTCTCTGTGTATACAAACATGAACAGCACACTCATGGGAACATGAGTGTTTTAAAGTCATAGCACTGCTTTTGCTTTTTATTCACGTGCTTTACCTTTCACTGTAAATACATAATTTCTTACTTTTGACAGTTATCCTTATAAAAAGATAAAGTAAACATGGATATGGACACTCCAATGAATATATTTTAAAAAGAACTCCCAAGTTTAGGAAGTACAGAGACAAAATTTTCTTTATGAGCTACTTAACTGTTTCAATTTGCATGCAACAGTAAAAATAAATGTTCAGTAACTATGATTTCTGTATTGCAGTTTAGGAAAACATTACACAATTAATTCAACATAATACTTCCAAAAAATATGGTTTAATCAGGAGTATGTTTATGTGTTAAACAGCTTCAGAATGCCACATGCATGCCATGTACTTAAGTGAGTAATTGTAATAAAGGTGTTACATCCTCCTTTTCTACCACAGCTAATAACTTAGAAACTACGAATTGTTCCATTTCAAAATACAACTACCATCCACCTGATTTTTTCCCCCCATAGGTAATTGTGTCTTCTCTGGAATAATTCACTGAAATCTGGTTATCAGGAAAGAATATATGTTCTGTGTTGTTGGAAATAATATAATTTCATTCCTTTTATCTTATGCATGAGAGATTCCCAAGGCTTCACAAAGTCTAGTTTTCAGAGTAAACATTCATTAACTGTTGTGTAAAGATGGTCTTTCTAATAATACAGGCTTGTAGTTTCTGTGTTTGCAGGAACAACCTTTTCTGCAATACACAACTATATATAGATTTGAGAATATGACATACAGAAATTTAGGGCTGTGTAGGGGAGAGAGAACTTCAGACTCTCTTCTGTGCTTCCAAGTTATGATCAGCAATGCAGGAGTCATAAGAAATCACAACTCTTAAATTTGTAAGCTAACGTTCCCCAGTTCTGCTCAGTTAAAGATTTTTGCCCTGTTAAATTCAACACTAATTTTACAATCATATAAACAACTATTTACACATATTTAATTTTGTTTGCTTGCTTGAAGAGTTAAAGTTTAATAACTTGTGAAATGAACAAAACAGAGGGCCTGCTTTTAGAACTTTTTCACTGGGCTGAGTTTTACCCTATGAAATTGAAGGTTGCTTGAGATACTACCATTTATTTCATACTTACATACAACTTAGTTACTGTCATTAGAATGGGTGGTTGTTTGTTTATGAATTTAATAAGAAATAATAACTTGTCCACATAAGATGGGCTAATCAGTAGGTTTCTTTGTTATTTTAACATAGCTCCTCTTGAATTATTTTGCTTTTCAAAGGTCATTTGTTATGTCAGTCTTTTAGCTCTTAATTTTTTTATGCTTTCTCCACTCTTTACTTTTTCCTAAAAAAAGTGTGGTATTTTTAGCCAGGCAATTGTAAGAGATATCTGTCTAATTTTTTTTATTTATTTATTTATCCTGGAATATGTTCTAATAATGGTTCACTAAAAGTAATAATATTTTGACACTTGCAACAATATTTTGCTTGCATACTAAACCTTCATAAACATAAAGGCAATACTATGTGTACAAGCATAAATTAATGTTTAGCAATCAAAATTGGATAATCTGAAAAGCACTGTAGGTTTGCTTTGGATAAAGGGATAGGATATAAGTAAAAAGCTTCATGGGTGAAGAAATTTTCTGAAATTGATATGTGTGAAAGATGAAATTGCAGTTATGTTATAGTGGGGGGGTGGTTCATCCCCTTTCTCCAGCTTTAATTTTTTAAGCTTAATTTTAATATTGCTATTTTACAGGTAATGTATGTTTTCTCCTTTATATTTTGTTTTCCTGGCCAACATTCAGTCTATATTTCCTTCTGTTGCTAAAAGTAAACAAAAGCTGTTAGGGAGTGCTGCACAGAAATTCAACCTTCCCAGTTTGTTTGGGGAGGCTGAAACTTTTTTTTTTTCCTGTATTTTCTCCCTGCACTTTATTCTTCAAAGTTGTAACTCTCTCTTGCTTTAATCCAAAAAACTGAAGTGCCTAAAATTAAGTGATGAAAATTTTATAACCTGTTTTTCTCTTTTTTGAGGGTCTTACAGATTTGTAAGAAATGCATGCTAATTATTATCAGAATTATGTCAGTGTTTTCCTACCTGTGCTTTTGTAAACATACCTGCACTGAATAATATATTATAAAATTTATTTGTGTTATTCTAACATCAGTGAAAAATGGCCTGTTTCTTTTCAAGTGAGTAAAATGGATAGGGAGAGAAATGGTGGGAAATTCTGTGTTATCATTAGAAATGATTGACATCTCTGTTAATGCATTATTATTTTCACATGAAGTCTATACTTCTAACTAATATTCATAAATATTTAAGTCTGATTGAAATCAAATGTACATTAAAATGCTGGTGTCAGATAGAACTGATGTCTTTTAGTTTCCCTTAGGATAAAGTATGCTACAGGAATATGATAGATGAAGACCTGGCTTTCTGCTGATATACACATAGGTTTCTCTGCAGATGCAGTACTTGATTAAGGTTAGAAATACTGTGCCACATGATTATTGGTTACCCGTAGGGATTAAATCCTGTTTTGATGGGATCCTATTATTTTTAGTGCCTCATACATTTACTCATGGCAGAAAAGTAAAGAAATATTTCAAAAATCATTTTACTTTTTACATCACCATCGGCAAGGCAGAACAGACTGAAATTTCCCTGCATGATTTTGTTGTTGGTCTGTAGGTTGGGTTGGTAAGTTGGGAGATGCCTGTGTTCAGTTCAGTTGCTAATATCCAAACAAGCCCAGAGCTGAAATAAGGGCAGCTAGCGCAGGACTTGGGAACCCTACAGTGACCATTTTGCTTTCTGTTTGCTATTGGGAGAATGAGCTGGGGCTGTGTTTCCCAGGTAGGCTGCGTGGTGCTGCACTCTGAGCTGACCTGTCTCTTGGGGTCTCGGTGTCCCATTTGTAAAATGGGAGTGAGACATAGTTTCCTGATTCAGCCATGTGCAGGGAGGATAAATACATTCTTATGGTCTAAATGGTTCAAACCCTGCAGCAGCACCCACACTGAGAAGCCAGGCTTTCCTCAGCTCTGAAGAGGCATCCAGCCAGAGCAGGGTGGAGGTCTCTGCAAGCCCTACCACCCTGCTGCCCAGTGTTTGCTGTTGCAGTTTGCTGTGTGTACTTTCCTTTCAAATAATTTCTTTCTCTTTTCTAGTTTGAGGGTTGCAAGAAAGCCTTTTCCAGACTAGAAAATCTCAAGATTCACTTAAGGAGCCATACGGGTGAAAAGCCGTACCTGTGTCAGCACCCTGGCTGCCAGAAAGCATTCAGCAACTCCAGCGACCGCGCCAAGCACCAGAGGACACACTTGGACACTGTAAGGAAGCAGAAGTCCCATTGCAGTCCCCTATACATTAGGCCATGTGCTCCTTTCCCCCAGTTTGGTGGCAGCAGGTAGCCCAAAACCTTAGAGATAGGAGTGTCTGATGAGAAGTGTCTGATGAGGCTGTTTAAGCTGTGTCAGAAGTGACCCAGTAATGTAAGCACGGATGAAGATGGACCAAACTATTTGGTAAAAAGGCCACAGCTCCATGGGCTTTGCTGCAGGTAGAGGCAGTAACTTAGTCCCACTTAGGTGGTCTTTAGGGAAGCTGAAGTTACTACGCAAAGACACAGAAGCCACCTGAGATAATAATTGCTATTCTCTGACAAAAATTCCGTTAAACTTAAGGCTGAGGCATGTAGCAGAAGGTCAAGAGAGGAAGAATAATTTTGTAAATCTAAAAATTTTCATGCCAATAAATTGTTGCTTGTGAATTTGAGTCACAGCTGAGATTTGTTTAAAAACTTTTGTTTTGTAACAAAAGATCATGTTTCATCAGAGACAAGCAGTTTCCAAAGGGCAGAAGTTGAGAAAGAAAATGAGAACAATGCCATTTGAATTAAATGGCTGTCACAAAACTTAAATTATCCATTTCAAATAGTCGATAGTATGGCTGGTTAAGTTAATCATTTGTACAAGTTTGGTTTTGGAAATGCTTTGTGAAATGTAAATGGCTAAATTGCAAAATAGCTAATTTCAGCTAGTTGGACCTAATGTTCATTGAATACTCTGTATTGCAGACCTACAAGTCATCAGGGAAGGCAGACAGGTTAGTCAGAATGAGATATTTATAGAGATATGTATTTATTTGGTAAGTTAGATTTATTGGGTTTTCTTTTAAGAAAACTATAAAGGTATTATAGGACTGGTATCTTTCTCAAATGACACGTGTTATTGGAAAATGTCAGCTGGAGGAGTTTGTCTTGTACTTCACATTAAAATGTGTGGGGTTTTATGTAGTATTTTTGAAATTTCAGTATTCAATGCTCGCTTTGGTTTTTGCTTGCTCTCTTTGTAATGTAGTAAACTAACACTTTTTCTTGTTCTCTTTTTCTGAAGCAGATTCTTCTATAATCCTAAACAGTCTATCTGGGCCTTTACTGCAGTTTCTTTACCTGATTCACTAAAGAATGTAATTTCTGATTAAGTCAAAGATTGCTCTGAGGGTGGAAGAATTGTGAGTATAACTAGCTATATTCATTGTACTGATTACAAAAAAAAAAGGTAACAATGAAAGGTGCCATAATGAAAGCTTTCCTTTGGTTTGCCTTCCTTATAATCCTTACTTTTCTCCTTTCCCTTTCTAATAAATTACTAAGCATTCTGCCTGTAATAATGTACAACTTCTGTGTTATGTAGTAATGTGGTTTGTAGCATCTCAAGGCTCAAAAGGGATTCTCCTGAGTTAAAATAATCTGTGATATAACAGCTGCTGTATCCTTTTTCTTTTTGACTTAGAAACCTTATGCATGTCAGATTCAAGGATGTACTAAACGATACACAGATCCAAGTTCCCTGAGAAAGCATGTGAAAGCCCATTCTTCCAAAGACCAACAAGTCAGGAAAAAGGTAAATTTTCTACCGTGTTGACTGGTGTAAAGCTTATGTGGAGAAGTTAGTGTTCTAATAGTAGATGTTTCAATGCACCTTCAAGTACCTGTGCTGTTTTCAGACTGTTGATTAGAAAAACTGTTAATGGGAAATAACAGGTATGGTTCTTATGTAAATAATTTCATCTTTGACTTAATTAGGCTGCCTGCTTCAATGCTTTTTATTTTTTGATGTGATGATTAATCACTAAAGATACATAATGAGGCAAATATAAAATAATTTCTGAAAACAGAAATTTTTGGTTTTAAAGTTCTGCCACTTGGCAAATAAATACATAGTAATACAAAATCCAGTTTACATAACTGGTCTCAGATGGAAGGATGGATTTTGAGGGCAGACAGACAGTATGTGATATTAAGCTCTAAATTATATTTCCACATGCCAGACACTTCCAAATACCAAGACATTTCATAACACCAGTTCCCTGTGGATGTCAAGTCCATGAGTGAACTGTTGTTTGTATGTGTAAGCACATCTTTGAAGAGCTGAGTTGCAACCTAAGGGAATTATTTATTTTTTTTCTGAACATTTTTCGTCATATCTCCTATTAGTCACTGGCACTATTTCATTAGATGTTTAGATCATTGATGATAAAAATCTAAGCTTTTATTTTAAAGGAAACTGGTCCTGATAAAAGGGGAACATGCATGAACTGTTGTAGGGTTAGATAAACCTCTGACATGTCAGCCCCATGTAAAACAAGTTATAGTTTAGAAGTTTTAAAATTAAATGCACAGCCATTCATAGAAAGAAGCAAAAAACCTGCTTTGTACAGCACTGGAAGCACTAAGTGGCAGTCTTTAAAGCTGCAGTATACAAATTTGAAGAGTAAGTTTTGATTCAATAGTTTGTTGAAGCAGGACATGACAGCAGAGACCTGCATGTCAGCCTGCATGAGGAATTTCCTTTAAACTTATGAGTGCCCCCTCCTGTATCAGAGACAAAGTAACTGAGCATTCATTTTCACCTTAATAAGTAGTGCTTTGGCTCCCTTGCTTGTGTGCATGCTGCCCACAGGCAGGACTGCCAAAGGAGGTCTGTGAGCCCTGTCCTGCCTATCCCAGGCGGGCAACTCAGCTATCCAGACACTGTCTTTTACAAGCATGTGAAGTAAATGCCAACCAAGACGTTGCATTCTGAGAAACTTGTGTGGTGCCTCAACTAAAACTGGCATAATGGACCTGAACACAGGTATTAAACTGCACTGTAACATTTATGTCATTGAAAGTGAAATAATGTGTTATCTCCCCTCTCTCATTTTGTCAGATTGCAATACTATGTGGGGTTTTCCTTCCTGCATTTCATTCACTCTTTGATTTTGCTCATTTTCCATTCCTTCTTTGTGCCAAACAGTTTAAACCTGGCCCTTTTTACTCGTCACTTGACTCTCTGTGGCCATATTCTAGACTTAAAATTGCTTATTTTTTCATCCCTGTTTGATAAGGATTTATTTATGCTTATTGGTCACCTGAGGTATGTTGATATATGGAAGGGGAAATAAGCCAAACCTCCACAAAAAGAAAAGAAAAATTGTGGCATCTATCAAGGCAGCTACTTAAAGCATGGATAAACTTTGCAGTGTATAATGTTTACAATGTACAGCATAGTTACGGGACCTTTGAGAACTTATAATTGCTAACTAACATCATGCTTTGGCATTTGAAATATTTCTTGGCAATAATAATAATAAAAAGTAAGAAACAATAAACCTTTTAATGCAGAATTAAGGTTATTTATGGCTTTAATTAAAAGTGAAAATTGGCTTAATGTCAAAAAAGTCTTTACAAAAATGTGAATTCATCAAAAATAACCATAAAAATTCCAAGGTGGTAAAGGCACAGTGGAGTAATACTTCCAGCCCTAGGGATCTCTTCTGTTGAAAAGAATGAAACCCTGTGCTGTCACACCCCGTTAGTCATGGATTCATTTAATATATCGTGCCTGACTGCTTTTAATCCTCCTTTTAACCTCCCCCTACACACCAAGTGACATTATTGTGGTGTCTTAAGTTGCTGGCTCTCCAAGACTGTACCTGCAAATGTATCCTTGATGTTGCATAGACTTAAAATAGCAGGATGAAGTATATTCATAACAGCAGAATCAGCTACTTGCTGTGCTAAAAATTACACTGAGTCTTCAGCCCAGATTTTCTAGATCTGTTTCCAAAGCTTTGACCCTTTCCTTGGCCCTCTAAGATGGGGCCAGATTATGCAGTGTGATATAGATAAATTTCCATCTCTGAATTATTTTAAGCAACCTTTGTTGATACATGTTTATGGCTTACCCTGTAAGGCAAAAGTGCATTTTCTGCAAATCTTGTAAGGCAGCCACTGTTCTTCTCCTCCCAACCTCCAGCCATCCACCAAATACATTTAACTGGGAATCTCTCCAGGTAATGGGATGAAATCCTATAGAACAAGAGGATCCCAACACAAATACATTTAATGCAAGCAATTTAGTGGATAGTATGATAAACCTTCATTTTCTTTTCAAAGGAAAGCAGAAGAGTAGAGAGATCCATGCCTGCTTTAATCACCTTTGTGTAATTCGCAAAATTCTTCATAAACATGAGGGCAAACATGTACACAAATACCATGCAAACACCTGGGAACAGGTGCTGAAAATGTCTAGCAAAACATTTTAAGTATAATCTGTTTGCATCATAATATACAGTCTGTACTTTTAAAATATTTTGGTGGATTAAAAAGCAGTGCTTCCTATCTTATTTTAAAAAGTAAAAATGGCTGACTGTGCCTGGGTTTCATCTTCCCTTGGGGAAGATGGATGGAGCTCCTTCTAAGCAGGGAAGTCAGTGACAGAAAACTAGGCAGCACCCAAAACGAGAGCATAAAGTGATGCTGAGAGGAATGCTAAGGCACAACATGCCCCTGGACTACCATTACTTTTAAAACCTGCCCTCTTCTGAGTCATCTCCTCTTTTCAACTTTGATAGGACAACAAACTTAAAAGATTTTTTTGTAAGTTGAACAGTTACCATGTGGTGCTTATTACTACAAAACGTAATGGAAGCTAAGAGCCATGCGGGATTCAAAGGGAACTGAATATTTCTGTGGGTAATGAGACAGGGTTAAAAAGTAGACATGAGATTAGCAAGGGGTATCAATGCTTCAAGATCATGCTTCAAGGTAGAAGTCAGCATCGAGCTAAATAGATTAGGGAAAAGTGTGGTTATTCTGTACTACTTATTTGCAGTTTCTTACTCTTTCTCCTGGAATGCCAGCCGCTGGTGGACACAGTGTACATAAAGCAGTCTGAATGTATCTTGGGCCTGATCTGGAAGATGCACCTGCTTCTAAAAGGATACTAAATAATGTTCAGGCTGCCTAGTCTTAATTTATGTATTCTCCTGCTTTTTTTCTTTCTCTCATTCCATTTTTATAATCCTTTTCTCTTTCAGTTTCCTTTCTTATTCTATCTTCCACCTTTGTAGCTTTGGGTCTTTAGCATATGCAACCCAGACTGAACATGTGTAGGCAGCTGAGGTGCATATGCCATGGTAAGACAAGTCCCAGGACTTTCTTCCACCCCAGGTACTCCTATATTGTCTCATCTTTCACCCTCTTTCTTTCCTTCATTTTTTCCACATGCAGAGTTCAACTAAATTGTCAATTTAGAAAGCATATTGGTACATACAGGCAAATGCCACTTAAACATTTGACATGCCATATGTTTGCTAATCTTTATCTAGCTTGGACCTCATATTAATTTAGGATCTCATGAACCTTTTACCTTTTCACCTCACATCAATAATTACCTAACAATGGTTCAGCTTTTTCAATCTTCCATGCATTTTCAGGGCACACCAGGACCATAAAGAGAAACAAGTGGGTTTTTTTCCTTTTGGGAAATTCTAAAAAGGTGAGAAATCCAGTTTTTAGCTGAGTCATTTCCTGAACTAGCAGCTTTTATATGAAGAGGGGCTATAACAGCCTAAACTGATTGTTTCCCAGAATCAACGGTAAACATGAAGGATTTTTGAAAGAAAAGGACAAGGAGGAAGAATTCATGGATTAAAATTAGTATTTCATTTCTGCTTTCAAATACCCAGTAAAAGCAATATAGTTACTTGGCTTGATTTGTGGAACTGCAGGGAATCAGAAGAAAATGTTAGGAAAACAGAAGGACGAGTGAGGCAAGTATTTGCTTCAGCTAATCTTCATATTATTTATTCTTCTTACCAAACACTAACAGTATTTTCTGACTTCTTAAAATCTGAAAACCATTTATGCATTGATACTTTTTGTTCTGACTATAGACTGGCTCTGAAAATTGCCAGCCTGTGATATTAGGTGCAGTTGTTAATGGTAGAAATATTGTCTACATCAAGTCAGGGTGAATGGTTATGTCTATTAGATCCTATAGTTCTTATCTGTAGAACAGCTTTAATAAGGAAGGCTACAGTTGAGAGCTTTGCTTTGGTATCTTCAACAGGGCTGAGTAATTTTGTTCCATGAGTCATCCTGTGGAGTCTCTGACTAGCCAAAAAATAGGGCACTACTTGACACGAGTAAGCTTATTTTCAGTTGGTTACATTTTGTGGTTTTAGTAAACAGCAAATTTCTTTCATTTCTTAACTGACAATACTGTATTGGAAAATATGAGTCCATAGGTCTTTTAGTTTGTAAGTCTTTTTATTGACATTAGTGAAAATGAAATTATGCATTATATCATTAACAAAATCCAGAGCCTGCACTATTACATATCTAGTGATTTGAAACCTATATAGAAGGTGAATATTACCATTATGCTCTTCAAGAAGATCTGTTTGTTGTGCAAGCTAGCACTCAGCCTTGTACAAGTATAAGAACATTATCTTTTTCATATAAGTATACTACAAAAACCAATTTGCTATTTTTGCAGGAGTCTTCCTGAAGAAATCTGTATTTGTAAATCTAAAGAAAATATTTAATTCACTTTTAAGTATTACAGTGCAAATC